TAAGTTTAAAAAACAGGATCCATTTATTTATTATTCAGGAGAAATAGCAGTTACAAAATCAGATATCCGGAGTAAATAAAAAGAATTACTAATAACTTTTTGTATGAAGCTTACTGCATCGTGACATTTAAGAAAAGCCTCCGATATTCCTTTGCGAGTCCTTTTAAAGCCTCTGGAAAGGCGGAGCTTCCAAGAAATAACGTCAGCCTCTTCAGCCATTCCAGTTCGCTTTAAATAGTTCCAGAACATTCTATAACTGTACGTGTAGAAAAGGCGGGAAAAACAACTTGACTACGGGGCTGTGGATTTAATTCCACGTACTTTAAAATAAGAGACCATCGCCATTAAAAATTAAAAGAACATGCAGTTAGAACTTTAAGTGTAATCTTGACTAAGGAATTTTATTATTACATATATATATATATATATAAATCAGGAAGTTCAGGAAGTTATATTTTTCTTTTTCTGTTTTATTATACTGAATTCTAAACGTCAGATATTTTTTTCTGTATTCTATATTCCTTTCTGTGTTTCCATCCTCCTGTTCCGAAAGATAGACGGTTCAACTAGATTTTTCGTTGACTATCGCTGGTTGAAACAGGTTTCTGTAAACAAGTGGTTTTCGACGCTTGATTTATTGGCACGTAGAAATACACCCTGATGATAACTGCTCTTTTAAAAATTCAAATCAAAGTCGTTCGCTCAGTGAACTGGATAGGTTCTTTTTTACGATTCACTGTAATCTCGATGAATAAGATCGAAATCGATTTGTGAATCAAGAGCAATGTGCAAGAAAAGAGTGAAGAGCGAAAAGAATCGAGTGATACGTGGTATAAAAAAAAATCAGTTCATTTGAACAGCTAGGCCCACCAGCGGCCGAGCGGTAAAGTACCTGAACACAGGTAGTTCGGCCCGAAGTTCGAATCCCGTGAACGGGCTGGCTGCATGGACGTTTTCGTCATGTGCATCCCTCCCTTCCGTGTAGTGGCTTAGGACGGAATGCATAAATAATAATAATCGAATAGCTAACTCTCTGGGTTATTTTATTTCAATTGCCGTTTGGAGATTCCTAAAACCTTTTGTGTACGTACAACTAATAATGAAATTCTGGAATAAAAAATATACAAAAAGTTGAGAAATTGCAAAAATTAAACTCATTCGCATTTTAGAGGACAAACATTCTTTTCACTTCTGGGAATCCAACGTTCCTGTAACGCTTCTAACAATACCTCTCGAAAAAGCTACCACTGTTCACTCACTCAGTAAAGTTAATAGGTTCTTTGAATCAGTTCATGAGCGGAACGTACATCCCTACTCCATATAGCACAGGTTTAATGTAATGCTATTTCTGGTGCTCTCAACATTTTAAAGATTACTGCGCAGAAACTTCTCCTCCGATGAGAAAGTGAAAATGCCCCAGACGCAGTGGCTAAAACAAATACACCCTGATGCAAACAGATGCAGCAAAACAATCTTTTTCATACTTTCGAATAAAAGAACCTGTCTTAAATTTTTTTGTTAGACTACATATGAATAAACACATGAACAAATTATTCATAAAAATACTTTTTTCTTTTGAAAATGCAAGAATAATAACCGACTGATTCAAATGATACTTACACATTGCTCGAATCTAAGCTATGAGAAAAATCTGACCTGTAAGTAGACCTTATCTGAAAGAGTTTAAAACTAGGAATATATAAAAAAAAATGAAGAGCTTTTCCTGTTGGTCAATATATTATTTTCCATTAATAGTTGCTGCATTGTTAAAAATAAGGATCTATACAGGTTGTGGCCATTATATGCACGAGATATGCATACGAGCATTCAACATTTTCGAAAGAAAATATTACAAGCAATTTTACCTAAAAAACTTATCTGCTTTTTATTTTGCCTGTATGTGTATATTTTGATGACCTTTCTTTAATCAAGGAACAGTTGCTAAAGAAAGGCAAAATCAAATAATTAATAGCAAGATAGTTTCATCTTTTTAACCATTCAGTTCATTCATCATGAATTACTGTAATACACACAATTACTGTAATTTGTTTCCTAGATTTGAGTTATTAAGAACTAGTAAACCATTTTTGAAAGAAACAGGCTTAATGCAATTTATAATATGTGCAATTTGTGTCATTATATTTACTTAAATATCAGTACTTTATTGCTAGCTATCTTATTGTTCGTAACAAACATTTATTTATTACATCGGTAATTATAGTTCATCAAAATTAACAACAAAAACAGAAATTTTTATTGAGATGTAACTATTTAAACTGCAATGAGAATAATTTTTATTGGATCATTCGTTGATCCAATAAAAAAAATTAAAAATATTAATATGCTTCTTGAACTTTTATTTTAACCGAAGGCAAAGTATTACCTTTGCATACAATAATAATTTCTCTGTGCATTTTACGGAGTACAACCATTAGATTTCCTCTTTATCTATATTATCTCTATTAGGAAATAATGAAGGACCCGTATGTATGTGAGCATGCATGCATGCATGCATGTATATATGTATGTACGTTCCCCTCATTGTGAAAAAACAGCGGCATCTAGAGCCACCAGATTTTGAACATTCACCAACATGTGTATACATATTCAAATTTCCTGAATTTCGAATTTCGAATTTATTTCTGAATTTCGAATTTAGCCTGAATTTCGAATTTATTATTTATTTATTTTATATTATGTGCGAATGTAATGAAAACTTGGTTAACAAACTCAGAAATTTAAAAGTAGTGGGTTGCACTGCGCAAAATTTAAGCTTCAAATTTAATCAGAAAACTCAGCAATTGCTGAGAAAAACACATTTTTTGCAAAGCGTCTTGGCAAAGCGGAAAATTTGTCTTAAACTATTAAAATTTAATAAAAAAAATCCAAAGATTTAAATGAAATGTACCGATGTAAAATATCCTCGATTTACTGACCTATGTAAAATATTTTTATCGCCCACGCTCCAGTTTGTTGCCTGTCGGCGAAGCTTAATATGGTTAATTTTTCTTTAAAATTTAATCTTTCCATTAGATTAACAACGTTGATTTGAAAGCAATAAACGAAGTTCTTTATTATCATTATTTATCTGAACCCGCAAAATTACATTAACTAGGTTTCGTAAAAGCATTAAATTTTTTATAGCAACTATTATAAGCGGCTGTCCACCTGCACATAGATTATGTTAATCTTGCAGTACCGAAAATGTTACAGCACAGAAAAAAAGGACATTTCAGTAAATTTAGTTTAACAGAACAATACTGACTTAAATAAAACAAATCATGCGATTCTTCAGGATTAGTATAGTCAGGTAAGGTATTTTAGTTCCCAAATTACAGCAATTTGTACTCTTGTTTACAAAAATTATACCACAAAGAAAAAATCATTCTAAAGTGAATTTTTACTATTATAGGGCCATAGGGCTATTGTTGCTACCAGGCCGGTTTTCGAATGGATAAGCCGGTTTATAGATTCATAATCCGGATTAACTATTAATTTGACCAATTATCGTGGACGTAATGAAATTAATGATGAAATAAAATAAATTTGCAAAAATATTTGATAGTATTTTATTTTAGCGAATAATGAATATAATGTTACTCCCACCCAAACTCAGCCTAAGCCGAGGAGTGACAGAAAATGTAATTTTCCATTTCTAATCTTCAAATATTATAAAGCGAATGTGACAGTTTCAGTTTATAATGTCTATTTTGATTATTCATGGCAAGTAAACAAGTTTTGAATATGTATATACATTTTTCTATATGCAATAAATGTGTAAATTAAATAAAATAAATAATTAGAGAGTTATAATTCATAATTTTTCTCTTGCTGCTGTTTAAATCTTTTGTTTAACTGAGATTATTATAGTTTTTTACTATGAATTTTTTAAAGGAAAAGCAGATAATACACTTTATTGATTTTAAAATTAATTAATTAATTAATTATATATTTTTTAATAAATAAATATAAAAAAGAATTAAAATCTGAACCCTTTCAAATTTTTACGATAGCCCGAAAGATATCTTTCTAATTAAATTTTAATATGTGATCAAAATATATAGTTTATCAATAGAGATTAACAATTGGGATAGCTCAGGTGGAACAGCGACACATTACATAAGATACTAGATAAAAATACATTCAGAATGAGATAAATCAGTCGGATTAAAAACTAAAATAAGTAATATTTTTAAGAACAGCAAGTGTTGTTTTTAAATACCACAGCCTGGTAATCAATAACAGAGAGATTAAATTTGAAAGATAAATACCTTATATTTTACCAAATGGCAACAGACTCGAATGAAACGTGAAACAACGCTAAATAGCGTTTCAAAACTAATAACTTCTAAGAGTAAAATATATCTATCTCTATCTATATTTACTATCTATCTATCTCTATCTATATATAACGTAATTCTATAAAAATATGTAATGTTTTAATTAGCTGTATCATGAATAAAATACATTTTTATTTAACGGAATCAAAGTAAAAAAATAATATTCTTAAGAACTGTATTTGTTTGCTTTTAAATAGCTTAGTTTGTTCATCAATAACAGACATTAAATTTGAAAGATAAATATCGCATATATTTGCCGAATGGTAAAAACTCGAATGTGAAAAGTGAAGTAACGCATTTACAGTGAACCACGTAAAATCACGTTTCGAGACTACAAGCCCTTTTGGATTCATACTAAATCTAATAAAAATAATAACGTGTCAAATACAATAATAAAAAAATTATTATTTTCCTAAAATTACAGCCGAAAACATCGCGGACGAAAACGTCGCGGAAAAGACAACGCAAGGGAAAAACATCGTGGTACAAAACACCGTGGGAGAAAATATCGCAGAGAGAAAACATCGCAGTTCTAAAATATCATAGTACAAAATATTGTGGTCGAAAATAAAGCGGTTCAAAAACTTCGCAGTTTAAAAACATCGTCGTCGAAAATATCGTGATAAAAAATAAAGTAATTGTTTTTGCCGTGACGTTTTCGGCGGACACCTTTTCCTAAACATCCTAATTTTAAAATTCAGCAGTTTTTAAAAAGTATCAGTTCTGTGTATGACAGTCAGTCATCATATAAACCATAAAGAAGAAAACTCTTTAGATAAAGAGAAAGATTTAACAGCTTTCGAGTTAGTCGCCTATAAGCAAAAGTAATATATCCTAGGCGGCACTACATCGCATTCCATAAAACTTGAGTTGCTGTCATGAGATTTTATTTCACATGCTATTTCTGATTTGAAGCAGTGCCACTCATGGATAACAGTATGTTCCGATATGGCCAATCATTGAATGGCTTTACAAAATAAAAAGCATAGAAGTCCAACTAGTAATTTGGCCGAAAAGGAAAGTGGTTTGTGGTTGGACATTTCAAAAAATGAGCATATTTTTTTTACCAAATAAAGTTACCTTATTGCAAAACAGCCTAAAATTTTTTGAATACGCGAAAAAGGACGCTAATTGATGTAGATTTTATTTTAGGGAAAGCACTTGAACACTACCGCTTTTTGCAGCTGAAGAAACGGATAGTGTATAGTCGCTATAAGCGCTTTTGCTAAATAAAATCTGCGTCGATAAATGTCATTTTTCATGCACTAGTTTTACTTGGCATTTCATTCTTGTTTGACTGTAAGGTTTCAGTTTACATTCAAAAACTTCCAGAATGCACAAATGCTTTCTCCGAATCCAGTTATATAGAGAGAAGGCTGGAAAGCAACTGAAAATTAGTAGAACTACACAACACAGTATTTTGTTTTCTGAGGTGTCTAAGAACATCAGTCCTTTCTTTGTGCAGAATCCCATCTTCGGCAGCAATCTTACACAAAACACTGGCTGCTCTTTGTTCTTGATGCCACTGTCATCGTTAAGATTAGCACTGTAAAAAAATAAATAAATAAATAAAACAAAAATTAATAAAATAAAAAAAAAACTTAAAGGTTACAGATTTTAAATTACGTCCAAAGCGGCGTTTTTTTAACGTTTTGTGTGCTGCTTTTATTTATTAAGTATCATGTTCTTTGCACTTAAACCATAAAATTCAGTTCAACAGCAATGTCGCAAAATAATTTTAAAATGAGCCTATCTTTAGAATTTCCGATACACAGTTCCGCGCGCTGGAGATAAAAAGGTTTTTTCCCACTCCGTAGACTGTTGCCATTGCTTGCTTTTAAATCATTGAGTTTGTTAATCCAAAATTCGTTAAAGTTTTACAAAATATGAAATCGATAATAAAACAATTCCAAATTTCAAATTTGAGTTGGCTATATTCGAAGTAAGAATACGTCATTCAAAATTGGATGGCTCTAGGTACCGCTGTTTTATCACAATGCGAGAAACATACATACATTTATGCAGATTCTTCATTATTTAATTTCTTCAAATATAATACAGGGCTAATTCAGAAGTCAAACAACAAAAATCAGCGTTATATTTACCAAATTTTCACAGGACTAGTTTCGATGGTTTTACCGAACCACCATCTTCACCTGCAAAACCGCAAATGAACTAGATAGGAAATAATGATTAGATAAGATAAGAAAGCCTGGACAAGAATAAGCAAGTGGCGCCATCTGTTGGTAAAACCAGAACTAAAACATAATTTCTTTAAAGGCCGAAGGCAAATTTGGATTGGAATTAGGATCGTTAACTAGAACAGAAAGATTTTTATGAATGTGAAATGCCTCTAGAAAATCCAGTTCTCCAATGGAAGATGTTTTTTGAATAATTTTGGCAGCAGAAAAACTGAAAGTGTGGTTTTCGGACCAACAATGTTGAGCAACAGAAGACTTCTGTGTTTCCTTTTTTTTTTTTTTTACTTTACTCTGTTTTTTTTTTTTTTTTTTTTTTTACTTTACTCTGTTACTCTGTTTGTTTTTTTACTTTACTCTGTTTACTCTGATACTTTTACTCTGTTTGAAGGTAATAAAGATTTAAATAAAGTTCTTTCAACAATGAATTCTATTGATCCTGCTATTCAGTTCACTTTTGAACTTGAGACTTGCAATTCTCTTCCGTTTCTCGACATTCTGGTCACACGTAACACATCCAACTTCAGTACTACGGTTTACCGTAAACCTTCATCGGTTTGCCTTCCACCACACTTTAAATCATGTCATCCGACTAAACAAAAGTTAGCTTCATTTTATTCCTATGTTTTCCGTGCTCTTCAAGTTTGCTCCACCAAACTAGCCCTTGATGAAGAACTAAATTATTTAAAAGCAATAGCTATTGACAGGGGCTTTCCACCCAACATTATTAATCAAGCAGTTAAAAAATTCTCATCTCAACACACTAAAAGGCACACTCTTATTTTAGGAGATTATAAAAATTCATTCATTCAATTGTCATTCAAAATTGGATGGCTCTAGATACCGTTATTTTATCACAATGCGAGAAATATACATACATTTATGCAGATTTTTCATTATTTAATTTCTTCAAATATAATGCAGGACTCTTAACATTTTGTGGCAACAGTTTGAAAAGTGAACCTACATATATAGGAGTCCGACGCAAAATGCCAAAACGAAAGTAATAGTCCTTTGGGGACTCAAATCCCTTTGGACTAAAATAAATAAATAAAAATGAATACATAAATAAATAAATTTAAAAAACCAGAATAATTTTATATTTTAACATTCATTAATTTTAACATTCATAAGGGTTTGTTACGGTTGAGCTCACAGTCTACCAGTCTGCTCGTTAGTATTATCCGTTATTTTTTTAAGCTTTTACCAGTATTAAGCATCGCACATGGCATCTTAAGAACATACAATCCAACAACAAAATCACAAAAAATCAGAAAGCTTTCAAATTTTATTTCAAGTCCAAAGGGGAGTTTTTTTAACGTTTTGTGTGTTACCTTTATTTATTAAATATCAGGATTTTTGCACTTAATAAAATTCAATTTAACAGGAATATCACAGGATATTTATTATAATCATAAAAAAGAATCAAAACTAGAAAAACGACGTGTGCAGAGCATTTTCAAGACGTTCTAATATACCTTTTCTGTCCCAAAAAGCTCACGTTGTTTTGTGAGTTCAGCTGCTGCACGTCTTCACGCATTGTAAACAGAATAGCAAGTAATTTGTTTCATCCACCGTTATTCGTTCAAAGGAATCAAAATGCTTACAAACATTATATGTGCCATTGAACCTTTCGTACCACGTTTTTCATCTGGTAAAAGAATAAAATAGGTTAATGGCCTTGCTTAAAATTTATTTAAAGAAAGAGATTTAACTTTTCAAATTGTTACATCTTAAGTAAATTATTAATACCCTGTATAATAGTTTGCTTTATACAGTCATTATTTCTCGATATAAAAAGTAAAATACTAGTTTCTGATCACAGATTTCTTGCCAATAAAAAAAGAATGAAAAAGTGTATGTACTATAAATATGGACTACTGATTCTCTAAGGCCTCAACAGTACGAATATGAAATTCAGCTGATAAAATTTACAATTCCAAATTCTGAAAAATTTTATAATGGATAAAAATACTATATGGAAATTGAAACTTTTCAGCATCATATAACCAATTTATATAAAGAAATAAATAAACATAAAAAGAATAAAAGAATCAAATTATAAAGGAATCTGATTTTAAAATTTATGTTCAGTTTTTATCAGGAAACAATTATGAAAATAAGTAATTATAAATCTTCAGTTTTTCCTAATCATTAAGTACAGTACAACTACAATTATCCAAACTTCGACTATCCAAATCGCTTTGAGAAGTTTTCAGAATTAAGAAGAAGAGAAGGAAAAGTAGGAAAAAGTAAAAGAAGAAAAGGAAAGGGAAGAGACAGGAGAAGATGAGGATGACGTGTCACTTGAAAAATTAAGAAGCAATCATTTGAAAATTCCTGGATGTTCAGAAGTTACTGCTGAAGATACAGCAGAATCGATGCTGTGTAATTTGTCAAACCCTCGGTTTCAAATTCTAAATGATGATTTAACTTATTGAAAATGTGAGAGAAGAAAGTGTCGAGGAAGAAGATGACCTTAGTGTCGAAGTTGAGGCAGACATGGGACCATCAGCTAGTGAAGCGTTTGGCAGCCTTGAAAATGATTGGAAACGGATGAAGCGTCAGCCCGAGGGTGACCACATGTAATTTCTCATTGTTAAGCGGAAGCGCGACTTGGCTGCCCGAAAACAAATAAGACAGTTAAAAGGCTTACTTTGACTGAGATGTTCAGCAGGCAATGACTTTTAGCACTTGTAAGTACTGTACAGTACTCTATATATCATGTACGTAAAAATGTTGGCTTTTCATTCTAATTAATTAAAATCTCCTTTTCTTTCAAAATAGTTTTTTCTCCGATTTTCAACATACAGTACATACAGTAATTAATTAAAGTGTACGTAGACTCTTTCTTCGGAAAAATCCAATTATTCGAATTTTAATTATCCGAAGGGGGTCCGGTCCGAATTGATTCGGATAATTGGAGTTATACTTTAATTTTGTTGGTTGGTTAGTAATATCCAGTGAAAGCTCTAAATGTTCTACAGTATTCTAAATTTTAATTCAACTAAAACCTGAGCAGTTATCATGAGATTTTATATCATATGTTATTTCTAGTTTGAAGCAAATGCCACCCACGGATAGCAGTATTATCCGATACAGTAGAATCTCTTATAACCGTCAGTGACGGGATAACGCCGATTCTGGCTAAGATATTTTTTCCAGATAAATGAAAATGTGTTTCTAGAACTTACTTGCTCATGTTTTGTGATGCCATCTGTAGAAACTGAAGCAGGGCTTTTAGTCTATCAGCCACTCTCAAATAAATAATATCGAAAATAATTGTAAAGATCATTTAAAAATAAAACACATAACATGATTTTATATTTCAGAGAAACAAAATGTAAAAAAAAATATGAATGATTTTTTTCGGGTATTAACGATCCCCCAAAAGGGCTCTTTTAAAGTTTAATATTATTTATCGGTAGAGATTGTCGATGTTTGGTCCACGTGGGTTAGCGAAGCATTTTATAAGGTGTTAGAGGAATATGCATTTAGACTAAGAAGGGAACGTTACAAATCGTCTGGATATGTAAAAGTAAAAAATATGTAACGTAATTATAATAAAAGCATTTAATTATGTTTATTTAGAGATATCATGAATTAAATACATTGTTTTTTAACGAATCATATTAAAAAGAAAAAAATATATTGTTAAGAACTGCATTTATTGCAGCTAAATATTTTAGTTTGCTAGTTAATAACAGACAGATTATATTTGAAAGAATAATATCTTACACTTTTCTTATTGGCAACAGACTCAAATGAAAAATGAAATAACGTATAAGCGAAATAACACAAAACCGTGTTTCGAGACAAATAGTCCTTCTGGCCTTACAACATTTTTAAATTTCTATATTTATTATCATATGAAAGCAATGAATTTCTTAACATGATGGCATTAACTTCGAATGTTTGCATGCTTACAAGGTTGTCGCTATAGTTTAAAAAATTCGCTGTGTGTACAATGCAATTTCATAACACCATGGGCAGACATGGATGATCATTTCTTGGGTAATCCTATGAAAGTTTGCAGTTCTTCTTCAGCTTCCTTCGAAGTTTTTTGCTCTGCGTGTCGTCTTCATTTCCTCCTCTTGATCATCTTTCTCCTTTCACAGTACATGTGCGATTAATTCATCTTCATCTGAAAATAGTGCGACGGGAATAGAAATGTCTACATCCGTCCAGGCTTGCGCCTCATCTTCACTAACGCTACTCTTCTCCGAAAATATAAGTAAAGCTAAGATACAGTACCTGACATTTGCGCCGGACGTATTTCAAAACCAAGAGCATCTTTGTCTCTCGACTCGTCATTTAGGAACATGATCATAAGCCGTAATTTACACCA